ACACAATCACTCCTGCCTGCAGCAGAGTTCCTCCCAGAAGTCGGACAAGTAAATTTAATCTTAATGAAATCATTTGAGTGTCAACCTGTGATCTTACCTGTCAAAGCGGTGTGCAGCTTCAGCAGGTCTGGTGCCCGCAGGAACCGAGCCCTGACCAGCTGAAGTGCTGCATAATGCCAAATGGCCCCAAACAGGGAATTCTGAACTCCAGATTAGTGGGTACGTTCAATCTTACGGTCTCTGTACCTCTGTTCTTCCCCCTCACAAAGGCGGTAACACCTTCACGTCTCCTGAAGGGGCCACTGGACAAGCAAAGCCGTTGATAGTCTTGATATGCTGAAGAACGGGGCCAAAACAAAATGCTGAAAGGCTGTTTATTAAATGTGCATGATCTCTCCTCCACACTGAACAAGAGTGAAGGTCCTGGGGACTCATGGCTCTAGGATCCAAGTATATGATTACAGAATTATGGAATTCAGGACTGTGTTTCAGAGCTCATTAACAGGCTAGGACAAATATTATCCCCACATTTTCTGACCTGTGAATACTTAGCTTTATAGTTTTAAGCATCCTTGTTGTGTGTGTAATTTGCCATGTGCTACAGCCTTATTACTTTTATTAAAATTGTTCTAGAGAGCGTTCATGGGTCTTCACCCTTGGCCATCTCTGCATAAAAACTGTGTCGTAAACTACCATGAGTGACATGTACAGGATTAAGAAGGGACCTGAACCTCTCACAACCTCACCTAACTGTGCTAATTTCCCCCTTGCTTCATTGACAATAAAATAACTGTCCATCTTTAGTAACATCTTTAAATTCTCTTACCTCATGCTGGAATGGACATCACTGACATTTTATGCATAGAAAAACATCACCACTGGCCCCGTGTTATGTCGTGCCTCAGCAAGGAGTAGCACTGAAGGTAATATTCATGTTGCTGCCAAGGACTGGACTAAATCTTCCTTTAGAATATTTTAAGTGAATAATGCATGTTGCTTTTTGAAGTTCCTTTGAGTTTCTAGAATTTGAATTATACACAGAAAATTTTAAACAGACAATTCAGGTATCTGTATGCTTGTACTTTGTATTATGGACTCTCTCAGCCCAGGGAAGGTCAGAGGCTTACAAATTTTGTTGTATCTGAGGATAAAAGAAAAAGCAGAAAGCTCAGAATTTTCTGGGAAACAGTATATTTGAATAGATTTCATTTTTAACAGCAGGTTTTTGCTTTCAATATTGTACATACCATGCTGTACATGTCAACATTGTATTAATAAAATATAGAACATTCCTAAAAGCATTTCAGTTTCAATCAGCGTTTTCCTACAGAAAATCTGTCCAGTGCAGATTTCCTAACCAACTCCATCTAAAAATGTTTGCAACAAAAAAGTTGTCTGCAAAAATGCACCCAAGAAAGATAATTTCACTGTGCTGCTTCTCTGGCTGACTGCAATGACAACAAAGTGAGTGAACCATTGTCCTAGACATACTGACAAAAAAAAAAATGCTTGGAGTTTTGTTATATGCATTTAATTAATGCCAACGTCAGCATTCACGATGAAAAGTTAAAAGAAAAAGGGTACTTACTATTTTTTCCTGCTGTTTCACACTTTACAGAACTTGGCCTACGCATCATTTCTGCAACTGCAGCTGAAAGAGTGAACAGAACTTCTACTGACCCGCCGACTTGTCTAGACACAGGTGACCCATCACAGTGTCTTATACCATGAAGGTAACACCCTTAGCTCCATAAGCCAAACTGTTTTGCATCTTCCTCCTTTTTATTTTATGCAAAGATTTGGTCAATGTAAATGACCTGCAAATATTTATTTTATTTTAAGATACACAATATACTTTAGTCTGCCTTATTAATGTATTTCGTGTGTTAGGGAAGACTAAGCTTGTAAGCTATCATCCCACTTCTTGAGCAAGCTAAACTGCATGAAATCTATATAGAAAAACGATCAAAGGAAAAATGTAATTTCTTTATCAAATCTGTTTATGAAAATCATACTCAATCTCCTCACTCCATTGCCAGTAAAGCAATATGCATAATAATAAAACTAAATGAGCAATTTGGCTAAACTTCAAACATCAGTTCAGGTGTCCAATCCATACTAGCCAAAAAAAGATGATGTTAGGCAGAACAATACTTCAAAATATTTTCACTTACATTTCCATTGTGTAAAAATAAACCCACCGTGTGTTATCATTTAATAAGGTTGATGTATGTTGTTATAGATGTTCTCTTACTTCCCTGTACCAAAACCAACCTTTTCTGTGGTTTTCTCTCCCCCCCCCCCCCCCCCCGCACAGGTTTGCAGGTATTGCTGGCCTCCTCGCTTCAGAAAACGTTGCAGGTTCACCATCGTTCACTGCTAAGGAGCAGAGAGAAAAACAGAGTGAAGTTCACCCTTTCGTTCTGTAGTTTCTGACATTGGAAGATACCTGTCTATAAAAATAATATCAGAATAATATATCATGTATTAGCCGACATGATAATGTAGACATACATTTAAAATGAAGAATTGAAGGGTGCTCTCCAGCTGCACATCAGCCAGCCACAGCAAGCGATGGCCATTAACGAAAATAGCCACTAGAGGCCTTCATCTGCTCGGGCTGTCCGGAGTGGTGGAGACGGAGCCCCGCTGCCCACCCAGGGCGGTTCCCCCTGAAGCCCTGCGGGACTCCGTTCGCTCCCCCAGCAGAGCACAATTCACCGCATGAGAAAAAACATCGCACGGGAGCTCCAGCTGGGCACGTCAAGCCGAGTCTCCCTCCGATCATCCTCGAAAAATTAAAAAAAAAAAAAAAGGGGGCGGGGAGGAAGTTGGAATTAATAAATAATCCAGGTGTGTGATTTGTGATTTTGTGACACTGTGCTCCCCGCGGGCGCCAGCGCGCCGACCCCCGCCCCTCGGGCTGCCTTCCCACCGATCCCAACCTCCTGCGAACGCCCTGGCGGGATGACAGCCCCGTTCCGCCAGAAAACCGTGAAAGCGAGAGGAAGTCCGCCCAACAGCGGCGAGAGCGTTTTACTTCCAGCCCCTGGGGCAGCTCAGGATTAAAGGGATTTTCATTGTTCTTTCTCCGCTGCAGTTTGGACACGACGTCGGGGTAAATGTGCCCGGGGCTTTATTTGCTGCCGCCCCCCCCGCCCGCAAGGCTGGTATTCTCCCGCGAGCCGCCTGCTCTAAATATGGCCACGGCCAGTGTGTCAGTAATCCCCCTCTTCAAGGGACCTGCAAACACTAGTGTTGGGACATTCTTGCTGTTCAGATGTCTAGCTGACGTCTGATGCTTAAAACGGAGCATGCCTTCATCCCTTCGTGCATTGTCGTAAGCCCCCGATGATTACTCTTAAAAGGGTGCCTCCACTACGCAGGGAAACAGTTGCTGACCCAACGAGAGGCAGCTTGCTGGCTTCAGCCTTCTTGAATGCCTGGTCACTTCAGGTTTGTACCAGCCTGACCAAGCGGGACCATGTCTACCTTTGGCTACAGAAGAGAGCTCAGTAAATACGAAGACATTGATGAAGATGAGCTCCTCGCTTCTCTCACCGAGGAGGAGCTGAAGGAGCTGGAGCGGGAGCTGGAGGACATAGAGCCCGACCGTAACCTTCCGGTGGGACAACGGCAGAAGAGCCTGACGGAGAAAACGCCGACGGGGACTTTCAGCCGGGAAGCCCTGATGGCCTATTGGGAGAGGGAGACCAGGAAACTCTTAGAAAAAGAGAGATTGGGTGCATGCGACAAGGTAAGACGCTGAGGCTTTCGCTGTTTCCTAGAAATATTTGGGCTTGTTCTTCCCTGGCATAATCTTGCTCACCCTTTTCATTTTTTTCCCAGTCTGTGGTAGCATTTCTAAGGACACTGTTAGCCATAGTTTTGTGTCTGCTAAAGCGCTGCGTGTTAGCTCAGGAAGGTTTTGCTCTCTCTCTGGAGGTACCTTAAAACCTTAGTTGAGGACAGAAGAAAATCCAGTAAAAACTATCGTTAGTGATTAAAATAGGAATAAATTTTAAAGGACATGTTAGAAATTATTGCCAGGTAGCAGCGTGGACTTTGGGGTAACTTTTGATTTTGTTTAAAAGCTAAAAAATGGACTTTTCCTTTCCTTTAGACAAAAAAAGATCAGTATTGACTGCTGAGTACCCCTTCAGGAAGATAATTTTGAATACATGCTATGTCAGAAGTTGAGTAAGTGGCGGCCAAGCTTCCTGCTGGCTGGAAGGAAGCTGCATGGCAGTCAGCAGCTTCTGTTGCTTTGTTCCTGCGGAGGATCCCTGGCACGGCTCGGGAGTCTTCTGGCAACTGCTGTCAGAGGGTAGCTGTAAATTATTTAAAAAGTGGCCTGGGGTAGAGTGATCAGCCAAACCATTTATCTGTATTCCCCCAAAAAACAGCCAGTAGTTCTTATTAGGCAATTCGTCCCCCAGAATAAAAATTATAATAATAAAAGCTGAACTGCGAACGAGCAGTACTGCTGGGCAGGACTGGAGGGCTCAGTCCTAGCAGGCGATGCATGCCCTCAGTCCGAGCTGATGTCCAAGCCCCCGGGCCCTTGCCAAAATAATTTGTGAGACTGAGCTCTTTCAAAAAGCAACTTCGGTTTTCACGTTGGCTCCGTGTAATTTCAAAGCAAAGCGAGGACTTGGGGATGTGAGTAGCTTTTTGATTTTTAAGCAGGGCTTCATACCAAGCTCTGACTTTCCTTAAAAGGACAAGTTTTGCCGTGTTTAAGCAGAAGATAGCGCAAAAAAGGTAAAGACAGCAAAACTGGACTCAGAACTTCTAACAGCCCTGATTCAGGAGCTTGGTTCATTTGCAAGGCAATCATTACAGTTTGTACATTAGGTAAAATACTCTCTTCAAGAAAAATCAGCGGGATTAAATTAGTCTGCGCTAATGATATCCAGGATTTCTTTACACTTAAGCGTTGTCTCCTGCTTGTGACTGGTGGTGTAATGTCTTTGTAGGCAAGCACACAGACCACTATCTGTCATCAGACCATTAGTATCAGCTTGCAGATGTTGACTTCGCTCCCTGTTCATCAAGTCCTAGGGAGGCAATGGCAAGATTAATGTTTATTTCCAGCTGAGCCTGGAACTCAAAACCTGGCCAGTCCCAAAAAACCCTCTGAACAGCTCTAGTTTGGTGTCTTACGTAATGGCAGGATTTTTTTTTTTTTTCTTTTTCCTTGTCTATACAGCATTAACAATGGGTACTGGCTAAAACTCAAAGCGCTGGCAAAAGCCTCTGTGCTTTTTGATCCGAGAAGAAACTTCCTAAATGCATCCATAAATATGAAAATGTTGACGTGCTGATGTAGAGGGCACAAAGGCTCTCTCCACTGAAGGCAGTGAGAAAGCTCCTTCTGAGTTTCTTGGAAGTAATTTTCTTCTTGTCCTCAACTGTCTGAAAGATAGCCACCTTATCTAAAATGGTTATTTGTGCTCCTTCTATAGCTAGTGGCGAGAGATCAGCCCCTCCAGAAGGCAAACATCCTGCAGGTAGCCTTTTAGTGTGAATGACTTGCCCTCCAAAGATATTTACCTCTCTGGATTGAGTATCTTAGTCCTAACTTTTCATCGAGTTACTACTACGAAGTAAGATGAAGCCCTGCAGGCTGCCCGCGGCAGTCCTGTACTGAAATGCTGCTACAGAGCATGCCTCGACGGCTCTGCCAAGAGGAGGGTACTCGATTTTAAAATTATAATGCAGGTTGTTATGACACCGAACGATGTATGTGAGAGGAAACTAAATTCCCCCTTTGACCCCAGAAATGCCACTCAAAAAAAAATCAAGTATTTTTTTTATTAAGCCAGTGTCATCAAGCGTGTTAGCAGTCCGTTTAGAGGCACCAGCTTCTGCTCATCTCCAGCAGTGTTGAAGGCTGTAGGATATATTCCTGGATAGAGAAGAGCACAGCCATGAGGACGGGTTCCTGGATGCCTGGTGTTTTCAGCTTCTGACTGTCTGCATATATGTATAGAAGCTACAGATATAAATCTTGGTCCCATAACAAACATGGCTTAAACGCAGCCCTGTTTCTATAAGTAGCACAGCATCTCGCAGTGTCAGGGCCTTCCTGCACGTGACCCACAGGAGAAGCAACGGGGCTGGACCTCGCAAGACCTCCATGCGCAGGGCAATGGGGCCGGACCCTGCAAGCCCTCCCGGCGCTGGACGCTCGGGAACGACGGGCTGGAACAGCTCGATGCCCTCTTTCTTTGGAGTCACGCTTCGGCACATATTACAATTACCGTCTGTTTTGCATGTGTCCCAACACTTAAATCTGCTTAAGGTTGTGAAACAGTACAGCGCAATCTGTCATTACTATTATTTTAACCTTTCCCTGCATTTCTAGAGCCAGCTGATTAAGAAAACCTAAAACTGCGTAGGTTTTCTACAAATAGGCTGTTATGTTAGTAACACTTTCATTTTCCGGAAGCACAAAGTGGAATTGCTGGGTCTCCGCAGAGTGTACTCACTTTGTAAAGTACCCTCTAGTATTTTACAAAGACTAAAATATGAATGTTGATAAAATAGTGTGTGTAGAACAATTGTATTCCATCCAAAATTTTATTCACATTTGCAAATGTGAATAAAAAGGCATATGCTATGGCTTGTCCAGTAGACTAAGCAGGACATGGGAAATCTTTTTTGGGCAAGAGGTTTAAGGGTGGTCATAGCATGTGGGTTCAGTCATGGCCCATGCAACACCGCCGTGCTTCTGGAGTCCTCCAGATGGAAAGTGAGACTTCCCTGGGGTGCAGACCTTTTGCTGTTCCAGCACAGAGAATTGTCCTCTTCCACCGTAACTGCTGAGGGCACCAGGCAGAGCATTGACAAGTAGATCCAAATTTGCCGTTCTGGTGCCCACCAAACACGCTGAAATAACCTTGGGGTTTAGAAAAACAGTCGTTTTACTCTGCAGACAATGAGTTATAATGAGTTACAGTATGGCAGCTGACCTGTGACGGCTGTCGGTGAGCACAGTCTTAGCTCTTGGCGAACATTTGGGGATTATTGACATGTGATTACTTGCTACCTGTGGGAGTGTGTCTGAATCTTTTCTTCACAAATAGCTTCTAAGTGTGTACAGCCCGTACAGTGCATACAGTCATGTATGTGAGGCATGTACAGAGACATGACTCCTGTAATTCTGTATTATTTTCCATGTCGATACACATGTTTACATGTGCAAACACAACTTGTATTCTAAACCACAGCAGTCTTTAGCCTTTTTAGATGCGCTAACATATGCAAGGGAGTCTGAGCATTGACGCAGATGTCTAATCCTTATGAAATCAAGAAAGCTGTTGCTCATAGATCATGTCCATTCTGAAATTGCAGTTCTATGTTTCTGCTGGCAAGGATCCGAATAACATCCCCTTGTGGACATGCCAGGACATAGAAAGTATGAAGTATGTCCATGTTGCAATATCTTGTATGAAACTTTCTCTTGGCAGAAATCACTGACGTCAGTAAATCTGTTCCAATTTATGCTAAGGATTTGTCTTCTAAAGAATATGAAAGAAATGCAGTTAAAAAGGTGTTAGGTGCTGAAACATTTTCTGTTCTCCTGTGTCTGTGGCTGGGGATTTATTTTTAGTTTTCAATATTAACTTATATAGCTTCAAGATAATCGTTTTTGTGCAAAAAGGCAGTAGCTACATTACTGCAGTCACGTTTAACACCCACACCTACATTCCTGTTTAGGACTCTGAGCAAGAAGAAGACAATTCAGAAGACATTCAAGAAGAATATTTCACAGAAAGCAATAGTGAAGTGTCTGAGGAGGCGTATACTGAAGAGGATGATGAAGAAGAAGAAGAAGAAGAGGAAGATGAAGATGACAGTGATGATGAGGATGAGGAAAAGCAAAATGCTGCAGCTGGTGAAAGACCTGAGGATGGCAGGAGTTCTGACCACATCAGACGCAAAAAGTGCAACAGTGCAAAGGACAATGAAAACTTACTCAATGGCCATGATGGAAAAGACACCGATAATCTGAGCTTAAAAAGCAGTGCTATCCACCCTTGTGGAAATCCAACAGTTATTGAGGATGCTTTGGACAAAGTTAGGAGCAATGACCCTGACACCACAGAGGTGAATCTGAACAACATTGAAAACATCACTTCGCAGATGCTTATACAATTTTCTCAAGCCCTGAGGGACAACACAGTGGTTAAGTCATTCAGCCTGGCTAACACGCATGCTGATGACAACGTTGCAATAGCTATTGCTGGTATGTTAAAGGTAAATCAGCATATAACTAGTCTGAATATTGAGTCAAATTTTATCACAGGCAAAGGAGTGCTGGCCATCATGAGAGCGTTGCAGAACAACAAGGTTCTAACAGAACTGCGGTTTCACAATCAAAGGCACATCATGGGCAGCCAGGTGGAAATGGACATAGTTAAACTGTTGAAAGAGAACACCACTCTGGTCAAGCTTGGATACCACTTTGACCTTGCTGGCCCAAGAATGAGCATGACAAGTATCCTGACAAGAAATATGGACAAACAAAGGCAAAAGCGTATGCAGGAGCAGCGGCAACAAGAATCTGGTTGTGATGGAGCCATCAGTCCAAAGACCAAAGTCTTGCAGAAGGGGACGCCTCGGTCCTCACCTTATGTGTCACCTAAGACCTCACCTTGGTCATCTCCAAAGCTCCCTAAGAAAGCACCGCCAGTGAAAAGTCAGCCTCCAGC